CATTTAAAAAAAATACTTAATAAATTTTGTGTTTAGTATTGTTTTTTAATGATATAACTAATATAGTATTAGTTTTATAAATTATATCCAGGTGTGGATTTACATTTTTTACGGTTACAGACACTAAAAATATGCCTCCTCAATTATTAAACATAATAGAACCTTAATGAATTTAAATTGTTGACAAATTTTTCTAGCTTTTAATTATTTAGCCTACTTTATAAAAATATTAGTGGATGTTTACCAAATTTTAATGAAAACGTACAATGATAATTTTTATGAATCATCTATTATTTGGATAATTAGGTAGTAAACATTATATAATATTGTGTAAATATAAAATAAGAATATTTTTTTTTTTATATATACGAAAGATGTATTAAAATAAAGCACTTCAAAATTTGTTGCTCTAGGCAGCTGCCTACTCTACCTACTTGGAAATTCACCTTTGATTAAATCAATACATCGTTTTTCGATATCGCGATATGATTTCGATATAAATTAACCAAAATCGGAAATTGAAAATATATTGTTGTGCAACACTACAGTAAATATACACATATTATACGGATTTTTATATATATTTCACAAAATCAGTAAAACCATGTTGTTCACGCCAAAATCGTGGTGGTTGCGTAATAATACTTGCCAATTCCTATAATTATTTTTATTTTATAAATACAGCAACATAGTTACCATATTTTTTACATTATTTTTAGTTACCTTTTTTTGTTCCTTCCGTAATTTTAAGCACACACAATAAACATACATGTATACACACTCCTACACACAATATCATAATATAGCTATTAGTGAGCTACTAGTATTTGCGAGGCGAACCCGAACACTACTAGTTGAGCTATCACACCACTATACACAAAAACAATTGGCTGGTTGGTAGTGTGCGACACGCACAAGTCGGTGTCCGGGAGTGCGGCATAGTATTTGTTGCACCCGGCCCAAACACATGTGCTTTATTTTACAAGAGCATAACGCATTAAAATTTTTTTTCTATTTTTCAACAGAGCGTTGATCAATAAATACGATTATGTTTTTATATATTAAAATGTATTTCATAGAATAGAAACGTATATAAAGTAAAAACAAAGATGATTTTTTTTTTTTGATCCTCCTACCGTTATCGTCAAAATGTGGGTGAATAGTGTACTAGAAATATATGTTACGACTTAACTTAACTTGATAATGAGAGTTTTACCTTAAAGCTTTTCAAATGCAATAAAAGTGTCTTACGATTTTTAACGATGTGTTTTTAACAATGACGACGTATATTCCATTAAAATCACTACCCTACACTATAGTTTTTCAAATATTGATGTGATAACACTGTGAATATTATGAAGGATATTGTAGCGAAAATAATTGATAAAAATGTAGGAATAATTCATTCTTGCAAATGCATATAATAGCGAGATAGTAAAGAGTAAAATTAATGATTACATGTTTTGTAATATTAAATAATTACGAAACTCTAACATGTGTCATGTTCGTGTCCAACGTTTCTGACAGTCGTTTAGTAATATAAACGATTTCGTCTTCGTTCCATCGTAATCAGCTGCAGCATATTATTATAAATAATGGTCCACATAGGTGTACATATCAATCGTCGTTCTTCTTAACCGGTTGAAATCGATTGTCCGACTTGAAAGCATTATAATATTTATGAGTCATAGTATTAACAAATTACTACAAAATTTATTAGGTTATTAACAGAAGTTGGTGGTACAGTGTTGGGTTACCGTAACTCTTTCAGTATACGTCTACGCATACATGGTATTTTATCCATAATTTTATTTATAATTAACAGTTTACGTTGTTCGTTACGCAAATAACTTAATTATACGTTTTGCGCCGTGTTCGTAGACTTGTGAAATATTCGAATAACAATAATAGTAATAATACACGTAGATGCATATGTATATTAATGATAATACAAGAAAGAAGATATCCTTGGATCATTTAGTAGGGCCACCGCAGACCCAGAACTATGGATAGAAAAGAGGGGATTCAAACCTGGGCGTAAACTTGTTTTTGGGCGTATAGGTACAATGCGTTAGACAAATATCCATTGGCAATAGGAACGCCAAGAAAATAATATATTTTTGATTATAAATATTCTGTACTTCTGTATTTACTTATATTGTAAAACAGAGACATGTCAACAAAGTTGGATTATATCAGTGTACATGATGTATGGAATAGTGTTACATAATTCGGGCCGAATATAGGTCGTTCGAGCTCTAGTTGTATTATTTTCATTTGATTTTCGTACGCAGCGATTGATCTTTGATATTCCGAGCGAAGGTTCGAGTACACCTGGTCTTTAAGGGCATTCTTCGAGTATTTTATTTCAGAATAATTAAAATTCGAGTTGTTCTCGTTTGTTTTCATAAAATCGAATTTTATGTTTCAATTTTTACACTCCGGTTTGTTATGTTTTACAATTTTTATTTTCATTTATAACATCACTTGCATCATCATTGTAATGTATTAAATGAATACATTTTTAAGATTGTAATTATTTGTACAGAATAATTGAAATTTTAGTCATATTCGAGTAATAATTGGTGTTTTATTTGATTGAATGTTGTTTGAAAAATACCATAGGTGTTTAGAAAGATAATTCAAAAGAAATATCCAATAAATTAAATACGAAAATAATATTATTTTTGTAGATTGAAAAAATAGTTAAATTACATGTTTCAAAGATGGAAAAATGACAAAATCATTTGCACTAAAATTAATATTAAATATATATAAAACATTTAATAATCAATAAAATATATTATATATAAAAATAAATATAATTTTAGTAAATTGCTTGATTTTTTTTATCCAATTTTTATCATATATTCTAAATGATTTATTTCACTATCTTGGTATTTCTTCTATTGTACAACTATGTCTTTAATAGAGATATCTATAATTTTTTGTTAGAAGGAGAGTTCACAGATAAATGTTTCGCTATGTAATTTTAATAATACATCAATTACTAATTGTAAATTGATCTTCAGATTATTTTATGTACAGAAGAAAAGTCAAGCCAAAAAAAGTAATTTGGCTCTTATACTTTTAATCTAAACAGACAAAATTAATACTTAAGCTGTTTTTTTATCATTCTGTCATTTTAATTATTTTTTTTTATCATTATTATTTATATTTTATGTGTTAAGTTAAAATCTGTATCACTGGGCTTCATGGGCCCGTTTTATTTACAACAATTTTAATATTATTATTATTAACAATAAGGTTTACAATAAGACATTCTCGGAGGTACCAAGTTGATTTCTTTGATTTAGGGTTGTGATCAAGTCTTTTCGCAGACCGATCATGCGTGTTTATTTACTCTAAGCGTACTGATTTTATTTTTAAAGGTCTGCGGTTTTTTCTAAAACTCTTAATTTGCAGCGTTCCTAGAAGAATAGAACCAAATTTTAAGTATAAAATCGGTAAACCATATGTTGGGTGATACAGTTAATTATTTAACAGTCAAATTTTTTACACAAAGATCCTTAAGTTTTTTCGATCCAATAAATATGATGTTATTGATTCGATAAATTGTAAGTCCGACTTCAGGTGGATAAACGATAAAAATAATGGTATAACTTTATCGGCTTGATACTGGCTAATAATATTTTTATCCACAGTTATAATCTTACCTAATACACCGAGAATCCGATAGTTTGTCCGTCGACGATCGTCATAAAGGTCTTGTTAAAAACATTAAAAGCCATATGAAATCAGAATAAAAAAATAGGAAAACCCTGAATATAATAATAATAAAAAAAAAAAAAAACTATTATTATCTAATGGATTATATTCATATTGGTGTCATTGAAATCGTGTGAGCGTGACATAAGTTCGCCATCTCCACACCACTACGGTGCACAGATGTGCCGCGTAGGTACCGCTGTCCGGATGTGCCACGTCACAGGTCCATTCTTGATCGTCGTCGTAGGGTAGAGGACCGTACAATGGGCAATCGGGTCATTTGTACCGGTATCAAGCGGTTTCGGCGTAAAAGATTTTAGGGACACGTTTTCGTTTCTCAGAAGTAATTCAGTAACGAGCAGGGTATTTCTAAGAGCGATTGGTATTATTCTTCTCGAGTATCGTCACAGTAGTTCATATACTCTGTTATTTATTCAAAATAAAAATAAATGTTTTCAATGATTTATATTAATATATTTATTTATATTTGAATTAAAATGGTATTTTGAAAAAATGAATGATTAAATCTAATTACGCCACGTTTTATTAAATAACTATAACATTCAATATATATTTTTAACATTTCTATAAAATACACTTTTTATTACAGTGGTCATAATTCCTTCGTACCTAATAACATAATGATAATAATTGCGCACAATTTCTACCAAACTATAGCATAACTCGATAAACCTGGTAAAAATATTTTAATATTTTAAACGTAATACAAATATGAGTTCGTCTACATTAAAATCATCCCTGAATAATCTAAACATTAATGTACTTAGTAAAATTTATACGTGGAAGTAATGTTACTCGAAATATTTTTGTATATCAATTTCGTAACAAAGCTTATAAATGTGCGTTGAAATGAACAAAAGGACAATTTAAACTAATTTTTATAAATAACATTAACTAAAATATATTATAAATGATTATCGCAAAATGTATTCAACATATTATTATTTAATATGGTTAAATTTTATTTGTACAACTAAAGGGTGCCACTTCAAACATTGTTTTCTAAAACTTGACCTTATCGTAATATGTTTATGTATAATTATAATTATACAAATATTACTATAACCTAATAAGGAAAAAGTTTGCATTTATCGATTCACAAATTTAGAATACTTCACAACACGATAATTTTTTTTTTTTTTTTTTATAAAAAAAAAATTATTTTTTAAAGCTTTCGATAATATGTAAAACACAATCATATTTAAAATTAACACAGTTATGAATTTAGCAGACACTTTGTACACATATGATTATAAGTACCAACAATAGTTTTATTGGGTAGAATAATTACGTCGGTATTGGTAAAATAATATTATTTTTTTTAAACAGGTTTTTAAAAAATATAGGAATTTTCAAAACTCAATAACAGCTTAAGCTTAAAAACATTACAATGTCGTTGGATATTTTCCATATAGGATCGGTTACAGGACATACAGTGGTGATTACTACAAAATATGACAAATAACGCGCAATATGTTTCAACGAAACGTGGTAATTTAAATTTAAGTGTTACTGATTATATTTTTATGGCACCCTTCAAACGGATATTATTATCCGACAACACGTTCAAATATATCCTCACTAATTAATCATTGTAATAATCATATAGCGCGTAACCGTCTACAGTGGTATTTAATTGTGAATCAATGGTAATAACCGTTGTCTGCGTGTTCTTCGTTGTCAATAATCGGTTTCCGATCATCATCGGTTTTCATCCTTTTCCTGGACTTGTTTATCGCGCCCCACGGTGTCTTCCCTGCTTCAGAGGACGAGAGCAACACCGAGTAAGATGTCACATCGTTCTCTTTGCTGTGGTGGATCCCGTATAGGAAATAAATCAAAAGACCTGAAGGGATGTCCAGAATATAAGTATACGAATTTTTTTTATTTAACCGTAACTGACGACTAAAATTCTGTTCCGTAAGACAAGGGTCGTCAACTTACCAAGAACCATCCATATCAAAAACCGTATCCAAGTGAGTAGATTGAGATTCGCCATCAGCACGATGTTGCATATGATGCTTAGCGATGGTATTATAGGCACGTGGGGCACCATAAACGGTAGTTCGGTTGAATTCTGTTCATGGGCTTCGATTACGAATATACCTGAAACGATAATAGTACAACGCACGTATATATTACTCATGTATTGTTACGGACTGTCAAGACAAATACGAGTGTACGTCATGATCGTTTACATAATAATAAAATACGTGTGGCTTTGTGCCGGAAAGCATGAATATGTACAATTTTATTATCAGCGAACAAGATCGGTATTCAACGGTATGGAAACTGGTTATTTTCTTTTGCTGAACAAAATACTTTTAATGGAAGTTCAGTTGAAAATATCGAAAAAAAGAATAATAAACATGTACGACAAACGTGGTAGCCCAAATATGATTTAAAAGAAAAAGGCATTATACATAGGTAAGTACTTACAGTTTATTGAACTATTAGATGTTAAACATTTAAATAAATAATCGATAACCATAATCCGGTATGGTTTTTAATGTATGCGTCACCGTAATATAGATTCTACTGCACATTTTCATTTATTCATACTTACATATAAGTAGATCGCTGACTAAAATCGATAATACGATAACGTCCATCCAATTTACATGTTGTATGTTAAACCAGAATTGAATGTAAACACACAAGACGATTGTAGAACACGTAAACCAAGCAATACTTATACAAACTACGTTCCCGGGTTCAAAATCTCCTAGGAAAGGTTCTAGGAATTTATAAGATGGCTTCAGGCGTCCACCCATGTCCATTTCAAAAGACTAAAAATCAATAGTTATAGCCAATTGAAACGTTAATGATTAATCCAAACACAATTTACAATATAATGTTCTTACGTCTGCTTGTGAATTGGGAATTTCTAAGAGACTGCTCGAATCACGTACTAAGCCACGGTTGGTTGGGCGGTATCTTAATATGACCACTGAAGCACTTACAATGGTGTAGGCTAATAATGTACCGATTGACATGAATTCCACCAATTTTTCCAAATCGAAGAACAAAGCTATCAACGCGCACATGAAAGCAGATATAGCCAAATTGATCATTGGTACCTGTAAAATATTATAGTTATTATGTATTCATAGTTTAACATAAATTAGTCATTATGTATATCAATAAAAATAATTTAATTAAAAATATAATTAGTTACTTCTCAATTTTTCTCAGTAACATATTTTCTTAAATTTGTTTTGTTTTATGAACAGTAAAAATACATCTCAGCAATCTGTTATTGTTGTTTCAACAATCTAAGCTGTATTAAATATTTTATTCCTATACCGGCTATTAAGCTCATTAAGAAGCTATTAAGAAAATTTGTTCACTATTCAAAGATAGTTATTGATTTAGGATCCTTGTAGTATCTTATTGATTATTAAAATGTTTAAATAAATTTAAATACTATAATATTTTATATAATTATGACTTAAATAAATTTTTATTATTTATGTTACTTCATAAGTTTGTTTTAACGTACAATTTTAGATAGATAATTATTTAATTAAAACATTTTTCTTTTTATAAGAATAGTAATTAATAAAGATTGAAATGCAAACTATTTGAATGTACTTGAAAATATTCAATTATATTAAAGCTAAAATTTACTTTAAAAATACTGATGAATAAATATTTTCAAAATTATGTTGGTTTGATATGGCAAGCTAAACTTTGAAACGAAAATACAAAATATAAACACTTCCTTATACAATTTTAACATTTTTCCAATTTTAAGTATTATTAATACTAGTACAAAAATTTAATTTCTATTTTTGATCTATTGAAATGCTAATTCATGAATATTTTGATGTAAATCTACAAAATCTAAAAAATTAGTTTTATAAAAAAAATAGTTGGTTCGTAATTACGCAGGATTATATTTTATTAGTATCAGTTGAATAATTGTATTTTGTAAAACTGGATAGAATGGATTATGGTTAATCCATTTTCATATGTAAAGCCATAAAACATTTATTTTTTTCAAATTTGAATTTTGCAAATTCTTTAATATAATCTTACTTCTTAAATTAGTGTTGATACACACATAAAAAACAAAATAATTCATTATTTACATTGTTTGAAATCTGAAATTAAATTTTGTTTAAAAATACTATATTTTTGTATTTTTTATTTATTCGTAAATTAGTCTTTTAAAAATAGACAATAGTTTTCATAGAGTCCATGTGAAAATCGCAAAAGTAAAAATCACGAAATGTTTTAACAACGAAAACATTAATAGCGAAAAGAAAGAAATTATTTTCGTTAGTGGTTATACCTTTATAATATAATAATACTAGATAATCAATAATGTAATTTTGTAATATTATTTCTTGGATCACGTAATAAAGATAAGTCATGGTTAAACCTAACTGCTGTCAAGCTTTATATATGTATATATTGTGATCATAGTATTATGTGATGATGTATTTTATATATTTACATAAGTTTAGAAAAAATATCAATTTTAATTTTATTTTATATAGTATTTTGATTTTAACGTTATTTTAATGTTAATTATTTCTTATTATATTATAAAGATATATTCAGGTATATTTCTTACTTTTCGCTATTAATGTTTTCGCTGTTAAAATATTTCGCGATTTTTATTTTCGCGATTTTTACTTTCGCGATATTTTTTTTGCGATTTTACCTGGTACCCGTTTTCATAGAATATTATTATTGTGGTTTTTTTTATTGTTTTGAGTAACAAGGATTTAAAATATGTATCAAATTATTTTAAACGAATTATGAAAAAAAAAATACAATAAAATATTATTATTTATATATTTATGTACTTGAGTTTTTTTGTTGACTTTTGCTAAGAATTTGAAAACCAATCCATCATCTGCCATCGCATAAATGCATCTGGGTAACGAATAGAGTGATCCAAAGAGAGTAGTAGTCATTCCACACAGTGCTCCGACCGATACCAAATATTTAATCCAATGTAGCTCTAACCCAGCGAATGCCGCTGGAAATGCTGCATCGGGTTTGATAGACCAATACGGAACCAAAAACGTTAAAGCTCCACTTACTAATACATAGCCTATAAACAAAAACAACATCAGTGAGTACCGTCATTCGTGTAAAACTCCCACGAGTATTTATCGATCGTAATACCTTCCATAATAATAATATAATTTATTTGATTTTTATTTAATTTAATTTTTTGTTGAAAAAAAAATTATAATTTTTGATCCAAACATCTGTATTGACATTGGAGACATTGCAATATTATTATATTTTTGTACAACAATGCATGCGCATGAATAGGTTAGGTATACGTTGTATCGTATAGATTATTGCGTTTCAAAGATACATGAAAAAAAATCGTGAAATATACGGTATAATTGGTGCGGGCGGAGAATAAAGCGAGTAGAGGAGTTGTTCGAAATCACTAGCCACCAATCACAGACGTCGGCCACGGCCACTACAGGTCGAAAACATTTTGTGTTTATGTTTGAAGCCGGCACGATTTTTCAAAAATGAAACTAAACTGAGCTGAACGATGAGCGATTTAGTCTACGTTTGAGTGGCGATTCAAGTGTAAAAATATTTTTTCAACTCAAATCAGCCCAATGACAACTTACTACAACTTTCATATCCAACTATCGGAATAACAAATTATGAAAAAAAAAAAGTTAATATTATTATTTGATTTTAAAAAGTATAATATTATAAATTAATGTATAAATTTTTCAGAAAAAAAATAATAATTTGATGATCGTTTCGGACATGTAATTAAATAATTCATAAGAAATTTTGTAAAAAAATACGAATACGGGAAAATCAATACGCATTCTTGCCGCAACAAAAAACTTATAAATTCGATTCGGTTTACATAAATTTACAAACGAAAAAAACCAATCACGTTTCGAGGAAAAATGATATTAAAAACCAGTCCGGTCTAACCGGAGGTTAGGTCTTAGTTACGCTCGTACACAGTATCAACTATTAAATCGAAAACGTGTCCAACATGCGAGGAAGCTGGGGACGGGGCGAGATATCTTCTCGTTGATTTTTTTGAAAAATATTTAAATGTTTTTTTGCTTTAATTTTCGTTGTATTAAATTGTCGAATAACAGTTGATATTACATTAACTTTGGATTATTAAGCAGTTTTTAACAATTAAATTATCAATGTGCCTAAAGCGTGCATTATATATTTCGCATAAGGGTGGGTATTATTGTACAAAATACGATTCTACTCTCGGAGTCCGTTGCTTGTCGCTTTGAGGACGTATTTATATGTTAAATTGTCGCTCCAAATGGCTTAAGGCTTAATAGTGATGAATATAGATTACAATTGAATTTAAAAGTCATCGACGACAAAAATCACCAATCTTCAATATATTACATACATAATATGTAATATTATATTGATATATTATATCAACTCTCGCACGAGTGAATATGCGCCATCAGTAAGATATTTGTAGAACCGCCGACGGCTTCGTCGAATGTCGACAACATTAATAATTTCTTTTGGAGACATAATCAAGGGCGTAGCAAGGTAGGGCAGGGAGACTAACTCTAGACTGTGGTAAACGCATGAGTTACCCCCCCCCCACCCTTCCCCTCATTTTCCAAATGGCGCCACTATCTATTCGAAAGTCGAACGGACCGTCGCGTGCGCGTCACTACGGCGGTAGGGACGAAAACGGACCTGTGCATACGACGCTCATGGCGATGATCGTAGCCACTGGTATCGAGTAGGCCGGGTCCTTCGCCTCCTCGCCCGACGTGGCGATGCTGTCGAAACCGACGTACGCGTAGAAACAGGTGGCAGCGCCCGCGATGACGCCCGTCGTGCCGAACGGCATGAATCCACCGTCGCTGGACCAGTTGTCGCTGTTCCCGTAGTAGTAGCCGGCGACCACGATTACGGTCATCACGCCCAGGTTGACTAGCGTCAGGAAGCTGTTCATGTAGGACGAGGTCTTCACGCCTACGCCTGCTCAAGAACACGATAAACATTAGCAATTACAACAGGTGCACAATATATATATATATATAAGTGTGTGTGTCATGGGCGTTCTCACGGGGGTGATATGGGGGATGGATCCTTCCTTCCATGGCCTTATTTTTTAATTTTTTTTTTTTTAGGTAAGATTAGTTTGAAAGAGATTTGTAAAAATATTACAAACATAGTAAATCTACATTTTTTTTTTAATATTTTGGGTAAAAAAAAAAACTCTAATAGATTAAAATTGACACCAATTATTGAATGTATTTTACTTTGTGGAAGGCGAGAAATTGCTCTTCGTGGGCACAGAGACTTTGGTTCAATACATTTTGAAGGTTAATATCTTAAATCTAGAATGTTTGACTATATTTGTGTATTAGTATTTTTAATTACTATTTTTTTTTCTATTTAAGAGAATTTGGTGATTATAATAAAAAAAATGATATAGATCTTAAAGAATATGTAGAATTAGCTCAATATAACATTTCAACACTTGAAAATTTAATGGAAATTATTGATAAAGAATTTAAATTAATGTTTAAAGAAGCCAAGGAAAATATATTATTAAATTAAAATTAAATAACATTAATTTTAATTTTTAAATTCAATTAGAAAATGGCTGTAAATTTGGACATCAACATTTCTGTAAAAAGATTAAACAAACTTCAGCAGAACCGTCTTATTACATTTTTTGGTGTTACGAGTCTTGAACACTACTATAAAATTACTATAGCAATATCTTGTATTGATTTTTTTATAAGTAATATAAAAGAAAGATTTCTTACTTATAAGAATATATTGGATGGTCAGTTTCAACCAATTTTAAATACTATTTTTGTATAAAAATATATTATATATTAAATATGTTTTTTAGGTTTCCAGTGCTTATTTTCTGATAAAATTAAATATATTTAATTTGAAGAACTTGTAAAATTGTATCTGGACTCAAACATTCAAATATTCATTGCTGAATTAAGGATATGACAGTTAAAATTGAAAGCAAATAATAAAAATCCTAAGGCAGCCATAGATACTTTACGTTTACATAGACAATATATTTTTCTGAACATTTACAAATTATTAAAAATATTATGTACCATACCAGTATCTACATCTACTACCGAGAGATCATTTTCATGTATGAAACGATTAAAAGATTATTTAATAAGCTCAATGACTGGAGTAAGGAATACATATATTATTAATATTATAACTTTATATTTTTCATAATTTGATGTCATTCATAGAATCGTTTTAAAGGCTTATCATTGTTGGCCGTCCGCAGAGAGGTTTCAATTGATGCCGAAGGAGTTCTCGATATCATGGCTCAAAAATCAAGAAAACTTGATTTAAAAAAAAACTTGAACTATTTTGTAAATTTAATATTTTCACTAAATATATAATATTTTTTAATTTTCATTTAACGTATGTTGTTTTTATACAAAAAATGGAGTGTGGAAGATTGTCTCATCTTTTAATAAATATTCATATCGCCTCCCCTCCCCAATAAAAAATCCTGGTGACGTCTCTGGTATGTGTGTCTGTTGGTGCGCACTGTATATTATTACATGATCTGCAGGGCTTGAGACTTTGTATGTAAACTGTTAAAATATAATATGAACGTACTCGCAAAAATACCTATGATGTATCTTCCCCTTGAATGCTTTGCGATTCTAAAACGGTCACGTTTTAAAAATAACGCAGAAAAAAAATATTTCTAGTAAAATAAACAATTAAGCATTTGTACCAAAAATATAACTAAAATTAAAATTAATTTTTAAAATCAATTTTTAGCATCTTTGGATATTTTTAATACATAATTTTCTCGTTAAAAACAATAACAACAAGTACTATGAACTTAACGTTACATTTTTTAATTAAAAAAAAATTGTTGAGCAAAATTTAATAAATTAATTATTATAGTTTCCGTGCGAGCCTCAAAACAAGATTAAAATCTCTGCGAATACAAGTATGTTTAGTATTTTAAGCGTTAAATATTAAAAATTTACGCAAAATAAAATTACAAGCCTAACGGTCACTATATGAATTTGTCCATTGAATAAGTTGGTGGTTTTCAAATATATTGTACGTTAAAGACGGACGGAGTATGCAAATACACGTAATTCGAGTTCCAAAACTCTTTGATATGGCAGATCGGCCGGGTAACCGGCTCACTAATAAGTACTGTAATGCAGCACATACGACGTACCCAAGATGCATGCATGCAGTAAGCACACGAAAAAGGCGAACACGTCTGGGTATTTTCCAAGGAGTGTCTCATGAAGTTCACCCAATACGGATACGGTGGTGTTTCTTATGACGTTGTCGAACATCGAGTCGAAAAATCCGCTCCATGCCCTGGCTACGGACGCTGCTCCTGTACAAAAAAAAAGAAAAAAATTTAGTACATTATTTTTAAGACAGCATACGGTTTTCATTCGTTCTAATATATGTAAATAGGCGAACATTTAGTGACATTTCTGTAGGGTGGGAGGGGCAAACAATTAAATACCAAAATTAAGTTTTCAGTATAATCGAATGCATTTGATAACAAAAGTATTCGTTGTACGAAAAAACTAATCACAAATCAACGCTTTTCTTTAAACCGTTGATCAATTGATTGTTTTTCATCTAATTACTTTCTGTTTCTTAGTTAACGGCTACATTATATTGTGTATGGTGTACAAAAACTAAAATGTAATGTTAATATAATATCACTTTAAAATTGATGCTCAACTTGTTCTATTAATGTTTGTGTTATTTTGTCATCCATACAACTCCGTAATGTACGAGAAACGTATTCACGTACAATATTTCATTTAACCAGCATTCGACAATCGTCACAATGTGGTACGGCAATAGTAGATGTGAGAAAACTCATCAAAATGTATATGTCCTAATTTGTTGAATATTTTAAACTAGATGTTTCGGTAGCTTAAATTTCGATAACAACGTACTTATAACACAATTATCAATAATAAAAATGTAGTTATCGTTAACAACAATAAGTAATATATTGCTTTGTTAAATTATAATATTTTAGAACAAATCGATCATTAGTTTTATCGGTGAAATCATTTCGAACCGTGCTACAAAGGAATTTCGAAACAATTTATGTGATATGAAAACTAAATTTTAATATTTACTGTGAACTATTATAGTACTTTACTATGTTATATTACATTACCGTTATTTTCGGTAAAACTTTAATTGATTATCACACGATTAGTACAAAATATTATTATTTTATTTTCCATTTATCACACAGGTGGCGTAATTTAACAACTGTCAACTATTGATTTATTAAAAACATTGAGTGTTCTGCATAACTTATACATTTACTATCATGTATAAACCTCAAAACCTGCAAAATAATATCTATTACGCAAGAGGTGTAACATATAACTTGCAATTAATGTTATTTTATTAAAATTATGCATTAAGCCTTCTTCGTAAAAAGTACATTTAAACGAATATGCATAATAATATATATAAATATATAAATGCAGTGGCGTAGCCAGGATTTTTAAATGGGGGGGGGGGGGGGG